CTAGGACTCGCCTGGCCGGGGTTGCACGCATTTTTAGACTTTTTCCCGCGCACACAAGTTCCATTGCTACCATTTTTTTTGGGTAGAAGGTTCCGTGGAAAAGGTGGCCGAATTCCACGGGTAAACACTGAGCTGAATGGCTATTCATCACGGGCAATATATCAATGATCTTACAAGTAACAAAAGAGGATAGGAGCATTGTACAAGGTGTGGCCTTGGCCAGAAAGCAGCCCAATTTGCTAGAGAGTCTGAGACTCAAGTAGTACAATAAACATACCTCTCTCTCTCTTTATAGATCGACGAACTCAAATCCCCTTAATCCCACAAAGACCGTAGGTCACAGCAAGCTGACTCAGCCACATATTCTACTTGCTAGTAGGGGTCACATGACTACACAATTTACCGACAGATAACTACACCGTTTTAACTAGGAGGACGAGGGCTGACACCTGTCAGTGGTGTCCTCTACGAACCTGAGAGTGAAATATTCTTCCAGAGCCGAGATTCAGTCACGATACAAGGTGAATTTGAGAGTTTTCGTCGAGTTGGCGATCGGGAGGAGTGATGTTGGCTCATTTTTGGTCGTAAATCCGACTTGCAGAGATTTCACGACTGCACAACTCTACGAAATCACCCATCTACACCCCAGATACAAACCGTAGACAGGCTATAACCTGTCTGATGTTCGTATCGCAAAAATCGACATCTTCATGATCTTTTTTCCTTTTCTCTGGAAAATCATTCCCAGCCAAACTCATCTCGCGGCCCTCTCCACAATCATCTCATCACCTACCAAAGCAATCTCATACCTCCAAAAGCCAAATCGTCATTAAAGAAGCAAGAGGATGTCCTACCCTACACAACTGCCAGTCGCTGTGAAGGTACGGTCGAAATACCGGCCTTAAATGCGTCCTCAACTCGGCCAAGGGCACCAACAACTCGACATGCGACGAATCGCCACCGACGAAATACGTACGACATTTCGCCGGCACACCAACAGAGCGTTCGACAAAGTCTGGGGCACCGGTGCCTCGGTCTTGAGCTCTCAGTCGCGTTTTCGACCTCCATGGTTAGAGGTACGGCAGCGACAGGGCAAGGCCGGAGGGGTGGACATTCTACAAAGTTTCTGGGATGACGAGATCGGCTGAAGGATAGAGGGATGCTACATGAAGGAACCAAAAGGGAACATAAACTGAGGAGGCCTTGGTGGGCGACTGGATGAGGCCTCCAGTGAAGAAAACGACACCTGGATGAGATGAGGAGATGCTGAGATGAGCCAAAGCTAGGAATGAGTCGAAGTCGAAGGTACAGATCGCGGAGGTGTCAAGGGCTGGGGCGCGTGGTGGCCGAGGCTGAGGAGGAATTAGCGCTTCGGCGCGCCAAAAGGGGGTATTATGGACGGTTGGGCTTGACATGATTCAACACATGGGTGAAGTCTGAGGTGGTCCGGTCATTTAGGTGGGACGAGGTAGATGTACTTAATGGTAGTTAACCTGATCCAGCCTGGCCCCACCCGTGCTTTAGCTCCAGTAGGATTGCAACGGGAATCACTTTACCTAGCACGTAAATGAATAAAACAAAACAAAACACCGTTTTAACCGGGAAAATGAAGGCTGTACATCTGTCAGTGGTGCCCTCTACGAACCTGGGAGTGAAATATTCTCCCAGAGCCGAGATTAAGTCATGAATAAGGGTGGGATGAAAATTTTCTATGGATTTTCGGCAAGGAGTTATACTCGATATTTTGGTCGAAAATTCAGTCGATAGAGGTTCAACAAGCGCAAGAAACTCGAACCAAAACTCATCACCACCAACATACGATTCACGAATGAGCCTAGGTCTGTCTGGGGGTCGCATTCAAACACCCGACATCTCTCAAACTCCTCATATATCTGCGACGAAGCATTTCTCAACTGATCCTACACCTGCGACCCACCTCCATAATCGTCAGATCACCTACCTACACACGCCCTAATGAGGAAAGTTATGATGGAGACAGTAATTGTACAAAAGATGAAAAAGAAAGAGAATATATACCGAGTGGATCACACTTTTGCGTGGGAGTTCAGATCCCCAATGACGACAACCCAATCTTCGATATGAAGGTGCAAGACTAAAGCAACGATGAGATTTTGAACGGCATTTGTATCTCGGAGTCAATGAAAATGTGAAGGGCTTGGTGGTGTGGTGGTCGAGGCTGAGGAAGAATTTGCGCCACGGCGTATTTACAGTGGGTTTCTGGACGGTCAGGATTATGAAAGTTCTTGAGGTTTATCTGAAATGATAGAAGTGAACGTTGACCGTCAAGTCAATTCTGTATTAATCGTAAGATATTGGGGATTTCGGGATCAGTGAGGTTTTTGGTTTTTACTGAACTTATATTTAGTTAGTTAAAAGTGTTAAGTTTTAATCTATATCTAATTATCTATCTATGTTCTATCTCGCTTCGGTATAAACATCATGTTCTGCTTACGTGATGGAATAACATTACCACCACCGAGATCATTGTCAACCTAGACCTCACCAAAGCTGGTAGCGATCGAAGATGAGTAGTCTTCGTCTACTCCGCACTGCGTGCAGTTCGGCCTGGTGTATTTAGATTTCAACAAGTCTTGGTATGATTTAACACAAGGGTGAAGTCTGAGGTGGGACGAGGTATATCTATACTTCACGGTAGTTAACTTGATCCGGCCCGTTCCCACTCGTGCTTAAGGTCCAGTAGGAGTACGATGTATGACATGTACCTAGCATGTAAATGAACAAAATAAAAACGCCGTTTTAACCATGGTCAATTTGATTACCTACATCTCTAAAATACACTGGCGTCACTATGTGGGTTATCAAGAATTAGAGGGCAACACCGAGTAAGAGAAATCAGATTGTGGTACAAAGTGCTATATCAGTAGTTGGAGAAATTTTCGTCATTCATAGATGTGCTGCCCATCGAATGACAAAATCTTGCTTCAGCAGGAAGCTCTAGCACAAGAATGTTTAGTGGTAGTGAAAGACAAAAGTATAATTTATCCTTGTGTCATATTCGAAATCACAGGCCTGGAAAATCTGTTCAATTTTCTGAGTTACTCAAATAACTTTTGTTAATACTGGGTTTCGATGGAAAGGTTAAGCTAGATTCTAACTTAAACTTTGTGCCAGGATATTCACACAGCCTGTCACGGCCCGAAATCTAAAACGAAGTACAAATGAAGAGTGGCATGAAGGGAAATTTGTAAGAGAACAGTATAGCATCTTTACACTCGAGTATTGTGAGCAAGTAACAGTCTCTTTGATGCTTCAGAACTATAGCTATATTTTTAGATTCATTTCTATTAACAGAGTAGAAGATCTCATGCCCCACGTTTGGGGATAAATTTTCACGAGGCTTCACAGCTGCTAATAGCTTTCATCCTTTCACATAGACGGGAGACATGAATGGGCCAAGAGTTCCTCGTGTATAAACCAACTCAGAGTTATGTGGGTCTTACCGCGGACAGGGACTGTGAAGATTGTATAAAATAGCGTACAGTATCCGGAAAGGAAGAATTATCGGATTTGAGACAGAGATGACCTACCCATCATACTTAGCCTGTTTTTCAGGTTGCATCCTAATTATCTTACAGACAAATTATATCTCCTCAACTCATCATGTTCGGATAATTATCGATGTATCTCTCGTTGGTTCGCGGTGTCTGGTGCCATGAATGAACAGGTTCAATCTGCCGCATGCCACCTGACGTGATGTATTTATGGCAGAGTCATGAGTCAGAAGAATTTTCGGAAATAATTGTCACTAATGAGCTGAATGGTCTATGCGTTGGCGTACAGCCCCTATGGTCACAAGTTTGAGTCAATATGTGTTGCCCTGGACAATATGCAGTCCACGTCTCTTATCTGAAAAAATCTACCATAATTCTGCCTAGGTGAATCCTAAAGAGTCAATTGGATAAACCCGTATTTCCCCTGAATATCTGGCCCACATATTAAAATAACGGTTTCATTTACTGAAAAAAATCGTATTTCCTTCCCTTGCGGCTTAGAGAATATCACCCAACAGAATAGAGTGAGATTCCTACCTTCATAGACAACACGACCATCCCCCGTACAGGCAACCAAGGCTATAGACGGGCAGAAGGCAGAAGCGAGACAGCCCGCTAGCACTTGATGACAAGGCGCTAAACCACTAGGTTTCCCCTCCAAGCCAGTGATTGCGATCAAGGCATATTGCCATGGGCAGGAATTAAGGCTTTGCTGTCTTCCTATTATCACCTAAGCATCGCTTTCAGTCTTCTGTAAATTCTCTTAGCCCAAAGTGCGCTGGACGCTTTAGCTCTCCTCGTTACAGCCTCGCTAGAATTGATCTGACGAGGAGTCAGCCTTCACACGACCAGCAACACATGCACGAGAAGATTCCCCTAAGAGAATCTGAAACTATCAGACTCAGCTCAAAGCTCATAGGTACTAATCCACCCATCTACATGTTAATGATTATTGTGTTTTCTTAGAAATCGGAGCTTTGCTGACCTATAATATCATGCTGCAGATCCTATAAGCTCAAAATTAGAAACACCTCACCGATTTGAAGTTGAAGGCAGTCCCTTGTTCTCTTATTCTTTACCTATGGCTTTTCTTATTTAACCTTACAAAAACCTGGCATCAAGACAGTTCAATTGATTAACTGAAACCTCTAATCGAACTACACCACAAAAGTTACCTGTCAACCGCAAGTAAACTAGTAATAGACATCGCTTCTTCACAGGCGCCAGGACAAGCTCGTACTTCATTATCATCTTAAACAACCTCAAAGATTACATCAAATTTAAAACGATTGTGAATCCGTTCTTTTATTTCACCCTCGGCCTGGCGCAATTGTCTTCGGCGCTCTTTCACCGCCGTAGAGCTCACATCGAAAGAGGCTTGTCCTTTGCCGAGGTCAGCTCAAGTAACAAGCAGCCTCTTGAGGTCATAAAATTCCGTGAAAAGATTTTTCTGTCACCCAGAACAAGATGAAAGGCTTCCGGCAGAGGGTTGTAAGTCTTCTTATTTCTTTCAGGGAAACCTGTGTGCATTTTCCAAAGGCCGTTTGTTAACGCCATCAGCATGAGCAGCTTTCTCGTGCCAAGGACCCCAACAAGTCCTCAAAGTCGAAAAGTAAAGGCGAACCAAAAGATGGAACCTCGTCGCCATCATGGAAAGAACCAGCCCAATCATCTCACGCAACTCCAAATTCTTCGACTGCCGCACTTCATGATTTTCGAAATAAACCACTTCCTCCCCATGATGGCATCCCACTTCACCATGGAACGCCCAGCTCTAACGCGCATCGAATAACTAACACATCAGGTTCAATTCACGGGATGACTCCCGGTTCTGAACGTTTCTATTCAGGAGGCGGCTTACTCAATCTTGGATCACCAGGAACACCTATCAGACATAGTCACATGCCTCCCAGCGTAATTGTTAGTCCAACAGGCACCGTAAGTTCCGGTCCAGATCTGGGACAACGCCACTAACTTGCTCCTCACTTAGCATTTATCTCTTCCAGGAGGTCTCGAGACCATGCCTCATGATCTTGCTCCGCCCAAAGCTGGACAGAAATCTACTATGTTTGACCGCCTCCAGACCACCCCGAGAGATGTTCCAGAAGGAATCAGAACTCCTAAGAGACAACACTCTTCTAGATTCGACATATCTCCACAGCGTGAGCTTGAGAAGCTACCAGGCTTTCACGAAGTACCACCAAACAGACGCCAGGAACTATTCATGCAGAAGATTGACCAGTGCAACATTCTGTTTGATTTCAATGACTCCAGTGGTGATTTGAAATCTAAAGAAATCAAAAGATTAGCCCTGCACGAACTTCTTGACTATGTAACCAATAATAGACAAGTAATAACAGAAGCTATGTACCCGCGGGTTGTGGACATGTTCAATAAGAACTTATTTAGACCTATACCACCACCTATGAATCCTCAAGGCGAAGCATTTGACCCAGAGGAAGATGAACCTGTTCTCGAAGTTGCATGGCCTCACATACAAGTTGTCTACGAGTTTTTCTTACGCTTCATCGAGAGCCCAGATTTTAATATTAACATCGCTAAGGCATATGTAGATCACAGTTTTGTTTTACAGTTGCTTGAACTTTTTGACTCTGAAGACCCTCGTGAACGGGACTTCCTCAAAACCACGCTCCACAGAATATATGGAAAATTTCTTAATCTCCGATCCTATATACGGAGATCGATCAACTACGTCTTTTTTCAATTTGTTTATGAGACAGAGAGATTCAACGGGATTGCCGAGCTACTTGAAATTCTGGGTTCGATTATTAATGGCTTCGCGCTTCCACTAAAGGAAGAGCACAAGCTTTTTCTCACGAGGGTACTCCTACCCATGCATAAAGTAAGAAGTCTGAGCATGTACCATCCGCAACTGGCATATTGTATTGTTCAGTTCCTAGAAAAGGATTCAGCATTAACGGAAGAGGTAACTTTCCTGTAAGCTTTCTCGTGTAATACTCACAATCCTAGGTGGTGCTTGGGCTGCTTAGGTACTGGCCAAAAGTAAATAGCACAAAAGAGGTTATGTTCCTGAATGAAGTGGAAGATATCTTTGAAGTCATGGACCCTAATCAGTTTACCAAGGTGCATGAGCCTCTATTTCAACAGCTCGCTAAGTCAGTTGCGAGCCCACATTTCCAGGTTGCTGAGCGAGCTCTTTACTTCTGGAATAACGAATACTTCTGTAATCTTGTTACCGAAAACGTTGGGACTATACTTCCTATAATGTTTGCATCTCTGTACGAAAACTCCAAAGACCATTGGAATCGGTAGGTCAGATCCGATAACGAAAACTCTAATGATTAATGGTTTATAGAACTATTCACGGTATGGTTTATAATGCTATGAAGCTCTTTATGGAAATAAGCCCTCAGCTATTTGATGACTGCTCGCAGTTCTATACTGAACAACAATATAATGCTGTAGCTCGCGAACAGGCCCGAGAAAATAAATGGAAGGTACTAGCAGATCTAGCTTCTAGAAGTTCCGCTGAAAGTTCTGCACGGCCTGCGAAAGCAAAAATTGAAAATCTAGATATGCTGGAGGAAACACAGAGAGGATTGGATTCGCTTAAGTTACAGGACAGCGAACGTCGAGAGCGAATACCCATACATGGTCGCCAAAGCTCAGAAAGTTCCTTCAAAAGTAAACGATAATACTCCCGGCTTAAATCCCACAAAGCCCATATTCCTTATAAACTGCCGACTCGCTGAGGTCAATTTTCCGCAGGGTCAAATTTCTGGCACCTCGCAAATGCATTGGGTTTTCTACTGCAAGATCAATTTATCCAACGGAAGGCATATCAGCCTTTTATGGAGAATGGTTGATCACTCACAGCTCATTCTGGTTGCCAGTTCTCAAGGATTGAGAACCTCTGCCGGAATTAGAAGGTCCTCAATTAGTCTATCTGTGAGCTTTAAGGTATCATTATATTCACTGCTATTCTTTAGTGAATAGCCTAGCAAATTTCTATTATCGGTTACTACAACTGAAGGATTGTATGAATGTATAGGTGGCAATCACTCAAGAACGGATAGAAGTAGGCCAATTAACATCAGACGTATGCAAGGAACATCTTTTGTAGAAATTATTCCCGTTTTTATAACGTCGTAGTTAACTAATGCTAAGAAATGATGGAAGCGCTTCGTTGAAAATCTAATGCGAACTTGTCTCCTTTAGCGCATTTACTAAGTTTGTATGGTTAGACAATCCCTACAGCTAGAAGTTATGCATGGGATGGCGAACTAATATCAAATTGGGCACAAGACGTAGATCTATATTTTAAAATTTCCCAATGTCTGGCGTTGAGGAAGGTAAAGGGAATGATGCATTAGAAAATACTTCAGCGGCTTTTAGCATCTTCACACACTAGAATCCCGATTTCTGTATGTGAAGCCTTCATAAAACTAAAACTAATATTAATAACAATATCAAGACAAAGACCAAGACTGCAATGCAACAGCTAGAAAGAACATCTTCATTCCTTTTGATCACAGTTCCCATTGTCTTCAAGCCAGTTTGCATACGACCCCCTACCCGGTCCGCTAAACCATCAACTCTGTCTAACATCTCGGCCTGCTCTTCTAATTCGCGGCCCATGTCAGAAGCCTGCTGGCGTATATTATATACTGTCTGCGAGACCATATCTAACTGTTTATCTTGCTCGGCCATGATCTGTGACTGCTGTTGCTGCTCAAAGACAGCATAAGTGTCACTCCCAGTATCTAGCATATTATCGGCTTCGCCATCATTACCACTCGTCCGGGTCTGCGGATTCGACGATTCAGTAGTATTCATGGTGATTTGGGCTTGCATTTTTTCGACCTCGCCTCTTACTTCATCGCATAGGCGCTTGCGTCGAGTTACTTCCTCAATCTCAAGCCCATATTTGTAGGGGTCTGATTGAACTGCCTGAACTGAGGCGAGGAGGTCAGCGAGGTCTTCGGAGAGGGCTTCAATCGCACTCGACAGATCGGAGTGAGCCGAGCGCAGTTCTGGGCTGTTCGAAGAGGGGCTGAGGGAGCGAATGCGTAGGAATGAGGTATAAAGTGAACGCGTCTGATGGAGTTGCGCGAGTACATCTCTAGAGAAGGTCAACTACTGCGTCACCTTTTGTTGTTGGCGGGGCCAGGGGAGAGGGGCAAGACTGACGCTTGTACCTGAATGAAGGGGTCCTCATTGCTTGCGGACATCATCGTACTTTTATCGTTGCGGACTCGCCGAGCTTCTAAGAGTGCGCAAAGGGTGCGGTAACGATGGTGGCGGGCTCGCCGACAATGGTTCTGGTTACAGGTCTATGAGTGGCCTAGACGACGGGCGCGTGGGAGTGTAGTCGTGCCGGGCCTGGCGAAGATGAGTTTCTGCCATCGCTTGGGATCTACTAATTGGGCCCCGGACATAGTGATTTTATCTGTGGGCTAGTGCTCGCTGCTAGAGTCGCCATCGCCTCTAGAAACGCTTAGATTGACGAAGGCATAGACATGGCCTACTGATGACCTTGTCCTACTGTAGACTCATCCCTATCCGATGGGTGCCTTCGCAGTTATTATGACCTCATATCCAACTGTGGGTATGTCGGCAAGAGCCGCACTTACTACGCACTACACACGCAGTCTGATGCTCATCCAACACGACCATAGACGAATACCTTTTTTCTCCTGAAATCCTTCAACTAATTGGAACCTTAGTTACGACACGTACTTCGAAGGTGGAATCTATTCTTGGCTAGAGGTTGGAGTCTACAGTGACGCACGCACCGGAGCACAGAAGAATGGAAACAAATTTTGGTCCACACTGAGTCTATGACTGTGGATCACTAATCATAGGAAATAATGGGGTGGATAGTTTCGTCGGGCGCGACGTATTCGCAGTTGAAGTTCCAACATCAGCGTTCCGCGAGCATGTTGGCAGTTTGCGACGACCATAGAGATTCAGTAGTCTGTGAATAAGATTTAGATCCTTGCGCATTCACGGACTATAGGGCTGATAATAAGTGCTTAGGGCCAAACTGATTGCAAGCGAAACAACACCTACGATGCACAGCCGTAATTCCTCATGTAATACACAGATTCTCACCGTCTCTAGAAAGTTGAATGATAGAGCTTCCCCATCGTGAATGAATGCATGACCAATAAAAGTACCCCACCACGCAGCACTCTAGCATCTCCAACTTTCAGTATTCTAGAAGATTCGTGTGACATGATTGATGCGCGGCTCGCCTACGTTCGAGTTCAGATAAACCGTGCGGCCTCGAGTCACGACAATTAGGAATGCAAATGACGCTGGCATGGAAATGTGTTTAAATGGTCTTGCGGATGACGTTTCATTTGGGCAGCGTAAGGAGCCGAGCGAAGCTTAATAACGTTTAACTATTGATCCCTGCATTGCGTCATCTAGATTCGTTTATGTTTTGTTTTGTTTATTATTTAACATCGTACTAGCGCGCAACTCATTTCCCAAGGTAACATGCCGGTTAGCTCAGTCTAGAAAACCTACCCGACGTGCCAACACTCCTAACTAAAAAATACACCAAAAGCACCCTTCCCCTAGGCCTTCTGTTAACTACACTGCAGACAGAATGACAATGTAAATCTAAATTCTGGAGAGGATAAAAAATATACCACCGGTATAGACAGAGCTATTAGTAAGTGATGGAGTCCCGCTGAATAGGTAGCATGGAGCGAAAATGGGTCTCTTCGAAAAACTTAGTCTTGTGAACCCACTTGCTGAGGCCGATAACCGCTTCTGGAGAGCTCAGAACTCAGGGGATTCCAAGGTTGGGATGTCGAGTTCCGCCGCGCAGCAAGAGGCAGGCCAAGTGTTCGTCGGTCAAGACTCCTGAGTTCCAGTGAGTCTCCAACGTTTTCTCTGATTCCAAGCTGTTTGTATCTGTCGGGGGCGTTTTGCGTCTAGTATCTGGCCGCTGATCGTCTAGATTCAAGTGAGCAATGCCCGTCGCTGGCATTTGCACATCACCCGACTCGGAGGGCAAGACTGAACACCTATACGCGGTGTCCTCTACGAACCTGGGAGTGAAATATTCTCCCAGTGCTAAGTTCAGTCAAATTTCGCAATATCAAAGAAGTTGGCCCACGAGGCAAAATTTCAAATTACTCCACTATGTCAATCTTTCACTCCCAAAGAGTCAGATTCTCAACTAAGCTTCATCAAGTCTACAAGTACGAACTAGTACATCCTCATTCCAATGATCACACCTCTCGTCGACTTTCTCTGGTCTCAGTTGACCACCAAGTACACGCTCACGCCGATATTTATACCCGACGGAGTAAGCAAAGCGTGGTGCACAAATCTGGGAGATGGCTCTTTGGGGATGGACGTGAGAGGGATCAGGACAAGTTTACAAGATGATGCAGAAGAGGGATACGTTTTCGACGGGCGTGAAATTTCGAATTTTGGCAAGAGTTTACGAATTGAGCTTTTTGCGCGCCAAGACTTCGCTTGCGAGAGTGCAGCTGACACTATAAAAACAAGCCGACGATGGAAGGTGTTGTGATCCGCCTCCTGGTGGTGTTCTCTAGTATAGTTTGAGTAGCCTGGACACCTACTCCACTAGGGAAGGAGACATCTCAGATTATATTTCGCGCGGAGAAAGGTTGATGGATGACGGAGGCATGTCTGGATAACTCAGGGTATTTGAGATGTTCCTCTGGGTGGGTATCGACGGATGAGGGTTGACTTGGGGTGAAGAAAAAGCCACCATAACTTCGCAGTGGTACTTGCAAATGAAATCTGAGGCATGAGTGCTCCTCTTGTAAATTGAGTCATCTTTTCTGTACTTTTCTCTGATATTGTGCCATAGCTAGATAGCTGCATACGCAATTAAAATCTGATGCAAAAAAAAAAAATCACCCGACTCACACGTGACCCCGTTTTAGCGCAACGAGTACAAGGGTATAACAGCAAATTTTACTTTCAGGAAGTTTCTCCTTCGTAACCACACTATCCCTCCTTCAGACTGGCCTATTTCAAACGTTAAGGCTACAGGATGGCATGAATATCTTCGGAAATCATGGCGAATTTAAGTTTTGCCTGTCGGCAGGATTTTACACGAAAGAGTCTATTAAAAATTTACTAGGATCCCTTTTCTCGGGCCAACCCACACTATTGCCTTTGATATTATTTGAACTTGTAAGCCGACTTATGCATGCTTAAGTCTGGATCCAGTTCAAAAGCGAAAGCACGATCTGCATGTAGCCATGTCAGACTTGTAATGATGACCAGGCGCGTCAATGGGTAGAATTAGATATTACAGTACTAAGATGGACTTGTAGCACGGAGAGCAACAATTAATTCATTCTTGTATTCGCTTTTACCTTTTGAAGATTCACGTGACGTTCACACGATGATCTTTCTAAGTTTTATAGAACTGGCTAATATCATGCATAAAAGCAATGGGTCTTTAGGATAGGCATTCACCTGACACTGACATCTTCATGAAGTTGATTGGTGTGTGTATAACTGCAGCCTGTCGACTCTTTTTTTTTTTAAATCATTTAATGTGTATTCAGCTATCTAGCTATGACACATGACCGGTGCTATGTATACACGTTGGATGACTCTTTTGACGTTAGAGACACTCATACTCTGGATTTCATTCGCAAATACCACTATGAGGTATGCTTGCTTACACAAACAGTCGACCCTCCTCCGTAAGTACCCACCAAAGGGAATTTAAAACCCTTTATTTATCCACGTATGCCTTCGTCATCCATGCATACCAGCGCCGCGAGAAATGTGGTTGTGTTTTGCCGGATTTGAACCAGCGATCTACAGTCTCGAGTGGGATATGTGTCCAAGCTATCTAGACTCTACTTGGCATACCGGTCAAGACGATGTACCGCCGCACCAACCAACCATGACAGTGTTTGTAGTGTCGCCTGCACTCTCGCAAGCGAAGTCTTGGCACGCACAAAGCTCAATTTGTAAAAACTCCTTTCCAATACTTAAAATTCCACGCCCGTCGAGACTCTATCCATCCCTCGCATCATCTTGTGAACTTGTCCTGAATCATCTCACGCCAATCCCAAAGAACTGTCTCCCAGATTTGTGCGCCACGTTTGGTGTCCTCCGTCGGATGTAAATATCGGCGTGGGCGTGTATTTGGCGACCAGCTAAGGCCAGAGAAAGTCGAAAAGAGGTGTGGTCATTGGAATGAAGATGTACTAGGTCGTACTTGTAAACTTGATGAGGCTTAGGTAGGAATCTATTTCGTTGGGAGTGAAAGATTGATATGGTGGAGTATTTTGAATCATTGCCTGGTGGGCCAACTTGTTCGGTATTGCGAAGTTTGACTGAACTTGGCACTGGGAGAATATTTCACTCCCAGGTTCGTAGAGGACACCGCGTACAAGTGTTTAGTCTTGCCCTCCGCCTGTCGACTCGTCATATTAGGATAATATAGGTTGGAAAAGGATAGCTTGCTGCTGACCGTCAACGTTCGATTCATGACACATTTTGAAGTGCATCTGCCCATATATCTAAGCAAGCTGATACAGACTGTATCATGCTTGCTCTCTCGAGCCCAAGAGTTTGGGTCTCTAGTGACGAGCATACCACCTGCTTACGATTCTAAGGTTAAGAGAAGAAATTATCAGTGGCTTCAGAATAAATCTCACCTCACTGGCTACTTATCATCGGCACTAAGATTAAATAAATCAGTACCTATAGTTTAGCGCCTCATAAGAATCGCATCCATTAATGTGTCGCCGGAGAGGCCTGGTGAACTTCTCTGGGCCTGTTTTTGATCCCTTTACTAGAAACGCAGAAAGCTATGTTGATTGTACATTATAAATCAATACCACTTCCAGTACCCTCTTTGTCTGAAATGAGCAAATCACCTACTATTTACAATTGATTCATTATAGTCTCTGGAAATCTTTCAAGCAGATTCTCTTTCAGAATCCCTTTCAATTAGACTTTTAGAATTGATCAGGTCTTTTACATGACGCTCTATATGACCTTGTTAGTGTTCAGATAGTATCCTTTTATTGCCATAAATATGCAGATTTGATGGGTAGATATGTAACGGCGATAGAAAAAGGGATGAAATTTTGCAACTCATACCATTATAGGAGTAGAATTATCAGATGAAAAGCAATTCCCACAAAATAACTGGTTCGGGTTAAATCAATTTTACAATTAGTACAAAAATTGTTTATTTTATCCACGTTAACTC